TTTATTATTTACAATTATTCTCGCTTGATTCCGCCAATTCTGACAGGTATCCAAGCCCGAAATACAGATCGAAATACGAACGAAACTTGATCACAGATTTATAAGGTCGTGTTTAGAGAGAATTTCGGTTTCACCGTAAAATATATATACGCGTTACAATTATCATGTTGTGATAAAAATAAAAATCGATTGCGTAAACGGGGATGGGCGACACGCGATCGATTGGTCGTTGCCTTCGGCGAAGAGGGTCGCGATGAGGAAATAAATATACAGCGAGAAACGTGTTGTCCTGGTCGCTAAAAAACAGCATTAATCTACTAGCTAACCGACTTTGTTCTCCGCACGTATTCTCTTTTTCTTATCAGCTATATGATCATTACATTGTCTAAGAGCCGGTTTCATTGCTTGGCCCTAACTGCGATCGATCCGTTTCTCTTTTTCCGCATATACAGGGTTTGTTATTATCGCTTATTCATCCGTCTTATCTATTCTACAAATCATTCTTTCTGTTTAATGAAATATCCTGCAGTTAATTCATATCCTTAACAGAAACTGAACCAAATTCGTAGTTACTTCTGAGTAACTTCGAATTTAAATGAGTTTATGTTAAGGATATATGTGTGTACACTGAGAGAAATTTTTTGCTGTATTAGCAAATCATTTGTCACTATAATAACAACAAACACTTGGTTTATTGCGAGAGCTAATTAATTTAGCAACAGTAGCAAACCTTTTGTTGCAATAGCAAAAAATTTGCTACTCGGAGCAAATCAAATTTTGTTGTCATCTAAATTTCTCTTAGTGTAATATTTCCAAAGCTTCGAAAAGTGTTCGCTTTTTATGACATAACTGGTGTTACGAATCAGGAAACAGAGAATCGGACGAACCGAGGCTGAAGCCAAGCGACACATCATTTGCGTGAGAGAAACCGGTCCTAAATTCTCGCTTATCTATATGACTTAATACAGTGGCTTTGTTCTAAATCGCTCAAACAGGTACCTCTACCTGCATCGTTCGTTGCACGCCGCGCACGTGCATGCCGTGGGTGTGCGAATGATCGTGGACATAATTCGGCCAACATTCGTTTGACGAACGCTCGTCGTTTCACAGTCGTTTCTTCGACGACTAGTCTCAGCGCCGCGAAACCAAGTCGCGCGATTGCGCGTGAAAAAAACTCTTTTTTCTTTCTCACTCTTCGATCCCAAGTCAAATTGCAGTACATGCATTTCGGCGTGAAAATTTCCGACCCAAAAATTCCGTTGAACGTGTGCGACTAACCGGTTGACGACCCCCTCGATCGTCGCTAATCGCCGATCGATCGAACGACTCGCGCGACCGTCCTCGCTTCGCGAAAGCAATTTTCCACGCAATTTCCCCGGAATAACCCGGCTGCAGATGGCATCCATCGGATAGTGATAGGTTATTACAGAATAACTGGTCGCATTATGGGAATAATCCGACGGTTCTTAGAAGTCGTAAGCGAGTCCATTAGGCGAGACACTAAACGCAACGCTCAACTCAGCAATTTAGCGTAAGTGAATGTAAATTATATGTGCATTACATCTAATGTGCATACATATGCACAACTTGCCCCTCGTTATTTCAGATCACCTTTAATATCGAATAAAAGACCGAGTAAATCGTACAAAAAAATAAAATTAAAATTAAACTCACTAACCAGAAATATAAAAGCAGCAAGAATTAGAGATAGAGATTTTGAACGTATATATAGACGAGGAAAACGAGAATTTTTCAATCTGAGGATTAAATTTTTGAATAGCACAGAGCACCTTAACAATTCCGACCCGGATTCTTCTTCTATCGATAGGATGCGCATCTTCAGCTTTCAGAATAGTTTCGCATCAGGTGGAGTGAGAAAGTTCGTGAAGAGAACGAGAACGAAGATTCCGAAGTCTAGTACGATGGGATCAAAGCGCGGAGGAGGTTCGCGAATACGAGATTTTCACTCGCGACGCAACTCGGGCCTCTCCCTTCTCGGAGCGACGACGGTACACGCCGACAAAGCGCGATTCGTCGCGAGTGACGTGATAAAGAGGGATGCCACGGGGACGGGGTCACAAAGCGAGAGGGGTTAAACGCGCTCAACGAACTCCGAGGCACCTGTTCGCCACGTGTGTCTGTGTGTGGGGGTGTGCGCGGGCGTACGCACACGATGTATGCTAAACGCGCGTCCCTAACGGTTAATTTTACGAAAAATTCCTTAACTATCATACAAACGCTTACGCAATTATATAGTACATGTACATCGTTACGTTAGAAACGTGATACAGTCTCTCGTCGTTTTGTCCCGCGGACGCTCTCTCTCTTTCTCTCCCTTCCTTCCTTCCTCTCGCCTAACTCGTTCTCTCGTTATTATCCGCCGATTTCTTCCGCACTTACGTCACTTTTTTCGCCAAGGATAATTATTAATCCTAAACCGATAGCCGGAGTCGATTTTTTTTTAAATTCGAAATCGATCTTTCCTTTATTCTCTCATGCGTAGTTGCTCGCTCGCTTCGCGTTGTTCCGATGCGTCGCATATCGATTTCCGGTCAAATGCATTTCACGCGCTGTTTACGTCTGTGGTTAAAAATTTACCGCGATGATCCGTTTACCCAAGTCGAAGTTCGATTACGCTCGATCGGCGCGACAATTTTCCCGAATTTCGTCGTGAATTCCATATTACACCAGCCGTTTCACGCGTGTGATAAACGTCTCGTTAAATATTCATATCTGAAATTAATAATTTAAACGACGTTACGGATTATCACGCCGCAAATACCAAGTAATCGTATTTGTATTTATCACGAATGCATTATTGAAAGGGAGTAAACTGGAAATTTTGTTCGCCGTAGAAATCGATTTAACGAGCAGGTACAATCTGAGGATTTTCGATCCGATCGTAAATGGCAAATAAAGGAATTTCCGCGTCTCGCGTCTATTTTTGTAAGAATCAATTGCTGCGGTCTATTTGAAAACATTTATATTAAAATCTGGATCTCATTTACCGCATAACCAGTTTGCTTTGATAATAGATGCTCAGCTAAGGCGATTAAAGGGACAATCGCGAACAACAAAGCACAAGTAACATTTCTTCTCATGTTAGACGACTTAAATGAAGAACACTGTTCTTGCGAATGGAAAGGGACAAAATCACCGCGAGTTTCGCAACAACCCGCGCACTTTTTAACGAAGGAATCCACGAAAAAATTCCAGACAATTGCAATCTCTCGTTCACCAACAACCCCAATCTTGAGATTCGCGCGTGCTCCGTTACAAGCTTAAAATCGCTTATATCTCCGGACACGTCGCATGAACGGCGAGAAAAAGCGTCCGTTAAACCCCAAAAGCGGAGAGACGAGAAAAAGAGGAAAGACCGATTATTACTCATGCCACATCTAAAAAAAAAATGGTTTCGAACGGACTTTCGCGCGATCTTTCCCGAGATCAGGCAGCGACACGCGAATGGCTCTGTGCCGCGAAGCTGCAGCGACAACTGAAAGGGTAAACGTGAATTACCGGTTGAAGCAGCGAGGAAATAAATTAAGTCGGTACAACCATCGTAAATAAGTGATTAACACGTTGAGTGCCACATTGTTACTCTCTGTTTACCGATTGAATCTCGTTAAGATAGTATAAGTACAAGCTCGCGTACACACAGTAATTTACGCCAATTAATACATCGTAATTCCAGCACGCTAAAAAAAATACTTGATTTCACCGCTGAAACTGTAACACGTCGACTATCGTAAAGCCAGAGCGCAATCCACACATTTAACAAGAATAAGGGGGGTATATTTCCCATCGGAATATATTCTGAGAATGTAAATTTATGATTGAACAAAATTGATCATTACGAGTCGCTCGCGTGTAATCTTTGATCGTTCATTATCTTCAATTATCGCTTGAAATGTTTACCTTTTATTTTCTTCATCGCGATCAGTCGTAATGTAACGTAAGTAACAAGTGTCTATAGGCATTAAACACGTTCTCTCGATAAGATATATCGCCGATTACCGCGTAGGCATTTGTGCGTATACAGGATATTCAATTACTATAATGTATTTATATGTACACAGCGCACCGAAGTGCCTCCGCATTGCATAGCATTAGAGTAGTATACAATCGGTGTAACGGGTATCCTTGCATGCGGAATTAGCGAATCGTCGGCCGGCACTCCACGTGTTAATTCGCGAGAATTACGGGGACGCACGGGGGAAAAACGGAGACTAGGTTTCGCGCAAATGAGCCAGCTTGCGAAAAATGAAGCGTGGCGCCTACCTAACGAGCTATCGGCAGTGGTAGCAACGACCGGTCCCAAGCTAATCGCCCACTAAAGTAATGCACGCGTGCGATCGTCGAGACCGGTCGATTACATTTTTTTTTTTTCCCGATCGATTTCCGGGACGTGGCGCAGCAACGACGGATCGCGATTATTTCCCTCCGGGTTTCGGTCGATTAACGTTCTTGTTTCATCTCTCGACGAGACGAGCATTCTCGCGAACGCGCGCGCGTTGCGATACGATTCTCTCGATGTCGCCGTAATTCGTTCTATTATGGTCGGATTAAGAAAACTTACGAGATAATATCGCTGAGAAATTAAAAAAGCTATACTACTGCACGCTAAAATTACACGTACGAAATAATCGGGTGATATACTTTCGCGGATTAGGATCGATTTTTGGAGATGAGAGGATGAAAGAAATCCAAACTCGAAACCCACGCTCGTGTCACAACACGTCACAAAGATCGTCCTGCGTTCTCGATCGCTCAACCTGAACTGTACTCAAAGTTATGTCAAAAACCCAGTTATTCTTATACTCGGTCGTCGAAGTGAGAACAAGTATCGATTGTAAAAAGGTTCCGATTTTTTACCTTTTACGTATAAGTAATATGTTAATGATATAATATATATATCAATAATTATATATTAATATTATGTTATAATATAACACATATTATGTATAAATATAATAATATGTATTATATCAATATTATATTCTGCTAATATTAATATTTAATTAAGATTATATATTATTCACAGAGAAATATCGTTTTCAAGAGCGATATTTTCGAAGAAAGAATAGGGGATCGATACTCGTTCCTCGTACACCTTGTATTCCTTGTACAAAGAAAAAGAAGAGGGTCGTCAATACTTTTGCGAGCACTCTACGACGAGATTAAACTACATCGCGCGCTTTACAAACTATTCATTCATCACCTCGATATAACATAATATACGTAATTTTTACACACATATATAATATATATATATACTTTTTTATCTACATTCGTTAGTATAAATCCCAGTACGCCTAAGTTCCATATCACAAAGACATGCCGTTCGGTATCACGATTTTTTAAATCCGCCGATCGCTCCGATCTCTTTCAAACTTAATCGACTTTTGCCGCTCTTCGCTGCTATCATTGTCGGCTGCGCCCTTTTCGCCGCCTTTTACATGTCCATTCTCTTTCGGTGTTTTTTCTCGTCATGTTTCTCTCCTTCGTCGTCGTCGTCTCGTCACTCATCCACGCTCGGCTCTTACAACTGCCCGCCCCGCGCACGCGGTTTTGTTCGCCTAAATTTAGCGATTTCGCATCGCCAGAGTCATCGCATTGTTCGCGGACCGCGCGTGCTGTCGTGCTCCGAAAGCTGTTCTGGTGAACAAGAGATCGCCTGACGATTACGGTCGGGCACAAAGTAGAGCTTGAAATAACTCGGGGAAAATTGATGACGACGCGATAAAACAGGAAGTGGTAATTAAAGCACATCAACGTTTAACAATGGTTCAGCGAATGCATATTAATGATTTTTCTGTTGCCAATAATATATTTACACTTGGATGAAATTATACAGTAGGAGATCGATCATTGATATCGGCTTGAATCGAGTTTTCTTTTGTCTTTTTTTTCATACAAAAAAAAGTACAACACTTTCTTGTACACTTTCTCGCACAAATAAATAAATAAATATTCGCAAAATTTTTTTCGAAAAAAGTTACGTAGTAAAATGCGTTTCTGACATGGTTTTAAAAAATAACCGTAGAACAATCATTACAGAACAATATATATTGAAATTGTTGCTTCCTTACAAAATTAATAATTAATTTTAATATTAATTATTAATTAAATAATTCAAATTTTAATATATTTAATAAAAAGTTCTCAATTTACAGTTTCAAATACTGATATTGATATGTAAATTGATGCTATGAGTGAATTTGAACGGCTTTTATGTAGAAATGATTTACATTACATAGATACTATCGTGTTCTTTTTCTGGAAACAATTGTAAAAATCTATCTCAGAGTTTTTCACATATAAAAGCCGTCCATTCATAACGGAGACTATACAAAGATCTACGAGGTACCGATAATAATGCGGAACTAAAACGGTCATAAGACACGAGTCGTTCACCCCGCGCGAGCAAAGGGAAATCCCTTTTATTTTCGGTTCTTTGTCGTGTGTCCTTTAAACCGGATTTCTCGCTAGAGAGACGCGCGCTCCCGTAAGACCTAACCGAACGTGTCCGCGAGGGAAAGAAAAACGTGAAAGACGGATGGTGCGTGAAAAACGCGACTGTCACACGTCTCACAAGCGAGAACCGCGAGGGATAGAAAAGGCCGCTACCGTAACACGCCGGACGTTTCTGTCTCGATTAAATGTACGCAGCGAATAATAAGCACCGAGACGAGGATGCACGAGGGGAAAATTAACCCAGTTAGCCCAGAAGAAGTTGAGAGAAGTTAACAAACCGAGCGCGATTCTTCCCGTCGTAAATTGCGCGTCGCGCCGTTCATCGCATCGGATTAAACGCTGGAGCCGCCGTAAAGTAAGCGGGAGTACAACGCAGTCGCCTAGGTACGATATTTTTTTCCGGCATTTCCCCCGGTTCACCGTGCTTGCTTTTAATCAAAGCCCGCTTCAGAATTGACTGAACTTTGCGTTCGGTTGAAAACCGTAATGAGCGTTCATAATTCATCACTAATGGATTCGTGTAGTGAGCAATTTAATGCAGGGAAGGCAGCCTTCTCTATCTATCGCCTACAAGAGCCGCATAATAAGGATCTTTAATTATGATAATAGGAGAAAAAGATAATAAAGTAAGTGTGTAATTAATTACAAAGTAACGTACATAATAAAAAGTATCGTCAAAAGCATTAAAAAAATAATTCCGTCCATTTCAATGACCGAAAGAAATGTTGGAAAAATAATTGCTTAACGCGTCCTATTTTAATCGATTAAAAACAAGCACTAATATTTAAACGCATGTAATACAGAAAACTTTACAAAACACAATTATAAAAAAAATTGTGTAAAACCTATAAATTTTACAAAATCGTCACGTGTATACAATGTTATTCTTCAAGCGCGATTCGATATCATCGATATATAACTTTCCGTGAACGGTCTATGAAGCGATTCGCGCGATTCTCGTTCAAATTGTTGCCGCGTTTAGTCAAGTATGTGCAACAAATCGTATTAATGACGGAAAAGTGAATTTCGGATATATTTTCTTTCGGATCACAGAAAGAGGCACGGCAGCGTCTTTACGAACAGCGGCAAATCTATTCAGTCGAGCGTGTGCTTCTTCACATCATTAGATCATGTCTATCGCGAACGAATCGCTATGCCTGCGTCGTCGTCGGTGACATCGCGACACGACGATATATCTAACGTGCTGCATCACGTACGACCTATCGAGCCGTCGCGGTTTCCCCGGGCTTCCCTTGGCACAATGACCTCCAGGTCGTTCGAACTACCACCCCTGCGCATCGTCGCGATCTGTGAGAGACGATCGACGACGATTGTGCATTAATCCTGATTCGCGAACCGAGACTTTATGTAAATGTAAGTCGATCGACGATTCCGTTTGGACTCAGCTGACTTCTGTTTGCGATCAATTCGACACGACCTGTCGTCTTATCTCCGGTGAAATCGATTGTGTTGGGGAAAATACGTCGCGCTGATGAGAAGGGATGAATAATTCGTTCCTCCTTATATCGATGTATTACGTACCGCGACAAATTTGATAGTAACATTTGCGTACGTCTCTGTACATATCCGTCAATTAGTCGATTTGTTACACAGACCTGAAATGTCTTTGAAAAATTGAGTTTTACGTTTCACCGTTTGTCGGAACAAAACGTAAAGTCTAGCTTTACAAAGAACGAGAGACAGCCGGGAGGCGATGAATAACAGTCGCGTTGTGTCGAGCGTCGAGATCGTCCTCGCGATTTCCGGGGCGCGTTTCGGAGACTCGTCGAAAAAGGAAAGCGCCTTTTGCTTCCACGATTGTACGTTCCGCAAAGGACTCGACGACGAGTGTTTTAAGACACACAATCGCGCGTTGAATCGTTCCATACTCCATTCACGAGAATTTCTGAAGCTTTTCAAGATATTGTCGTAGCGGGAAAAGATGTCTCTCACCGACAAGCGTACCGACCGCGTATTTTCACGACGGAGGCAATGGCCGTCGGAATAAATCCCGAAACGAGTAGACCGGAGAGCAACGCGAAGCGACGTCGCCGCGGCTGAAGGTACGATTTCGAGAATACCGACCTTGTAACGCGAGACTAGACATAAGGCGTGAAATCAGTTATAATAAACCAGTGACGAATCCGCGAAAATGAGTCTTTCCTCCAATCATTTTTTTTCTGTATGATTTTTCTCGAATAACGCTAACTGTACGGACGTTCGGCATTCGCCTTTAAAAGGAGAACATCTCCGACCTACGAAATCTCATAGAAAACATCTTGTTTCTTCTCACTAGATTATAACCGATTCGCGGCCCATCGACAACTAGCCACACCGCGGCGACGGTAGAAACGCGACGCGTGAATCACATGTATCCGAGATCGATGATGAAAACAGCTATTCACCCTTATGACCGCAAGTAACCCTCCTCGACGCTACGTCGAGGTAGCGCAGCTCGGACGTCGCCCGAACGGAAGGCAGCGAGACACAGCCGAGTTTCACATTAGATGACCGGGGCCGAATCATCTTTATTTTTACATTATTTTCACGGGTTTCCTTCTGTCTACGAGGAAAGCGCGTGATCATTTCGTGACGAAAAGCTCGTCAGTAGCAATACCGAGAACGGCAGCGAGCGAGCGAATCGGAGGGAGGAGAAAAGAGCGATTGGCGTCACGTCTTGGCCTATTGTCTCAGCTCCTCGAGGATCTCCTGGATTCCCGGCTGGAACGAGAGCACCAACCGGCTGGAGCTGCTCGAGGAGCCGTGAGAGCTGTAATTGTCGTGCGACGCGCCATTGTTATTGTGCTGTTGCTGCTGCGCCTGGTGTGTTTGACGAGCGCGCTGCGACTTGCCGGTCGTCGCACCGTCGACAGAATTGAGCGACTGATGGCTGCTACTCTGGTTCGACCGATGACTCCCGTGCAACTGGGACTCGGACAGACAACCGTAAGACCCGAGGGGATACGGATCGAAGATCGTCACCGGCAACTCGCTCACGCGCTCTCTCTGCTGCTGACGTTCGGTCTTGCTCGCAGAAATATCGCCGCTCGACGCATTATTACCACTCTGCAATTGATTGTTCGTCTTACTGGAGCTCCTACTACTGACTGAATTGAGCGACTGATGGCCGCTATTCAGTCCCCCCGTCGTGCCCCAGGTGCCGCCGTGCAGCTGAGACGCGCCGTACGCCGACGAGTAACCCGCGTAAGCGGACACCACGTCCTCGACCAAACGATTTCCTCTCTGCTGACCCGTCGTCTTGCTCGTGGAAATGTCGTCGCTGGTGTTATTGGCCCCCTGCAGACTGTTGGTCTTGCTGGAGGAGCTTCTGCCACCACCGCCACCGCCGCCACCGGTCCCACTGATAGAGTTCAGCGACTGATGGCCGCTGTTTAATCCCCCCGTGGTGCCCCAAGTACCGCCGTGTAATTGGGACGCGTTGTACGAATAACCCGCGTAAGCCGACACCATGTCCTCCATTAAACGATTTCCCCTCGTCTGCTGACCCGTCGTCTTGCTCGTCGCGATGTCGTCACTGGCGTTATTGCTGCTCTGCAGACTGTTGGTCTTGCTGGAACTCCTACTGCCGGACGCGGACGTTCTCAGGGTGGAACCGCCGCCGGTGGTCGCGGGTTGCGTCGACGTCACCGCCGGCAGCGTGTCGTTCTTGTCGCCCGGCGGCCTCGGCAATCGACGGCGCAGCCACGGATGCCTCAGCGCCTTGTTCGGCGTCATTCGGCACTCCGGCTCCCACACGAGGCAACGTCTGAGAAAGTCCAAGAACAGAACGTCGTCGCAGCCCTTCAGGGCGCGCTCGAGATCGTGCGAGCCCGGTGGACCGCGCAGCTTCCCTCGTCTCGATAGACCCCCGCTTAGCACTGTCGTGCCGTCCGGCATCGCCGTCGCGGTGCAGTACTTCGGGTAGCCCTTCGAGCTGATGAACTGACGCGATCGTTTGGAGTTTTGTAGGAGCCGCTGCGGTGGCATGCCCAGCATCTCGATGATGCACGCCAATTGGTCTCCCTCGTCCTCGCCCGGCAGTAGTGGGAAACCGGTGAACAGCTCCGCCAGGATGCATCCGAGGCTCCACATGTCGATCGGCATCCCGTATCTCGCGCCCAATATTACTTCCGGCGCACGGTAGAAGCGGCTCTGGATATAGGTGTATACCCGTTGATTCTCGTAGCAGCTGGAACCGAAATCTATCACCTGCAACACGCGGAGATATCTCGTTAACGCACCGAATCAATGCAGTTTTGAATGATACGATTAGTAATTGTATAATTAATCGGATAACACGATAGATTGAGAAACGGCGTTTCACGCTGAGTGTGTAACAAGTAAATTTTAGAGGTAGATGATCGTTTTCATTTTCATACAGTTGGCGATATTCGAATGAAAATTTTGTTTTTCGAAAAACAAAACGAAAAAATTCATTGCAAACACAGAGGGATAGCTAGAATTTTCGTTGTAAAATATGGAATATATCTAGAATATAAAATCTGGAATATTTATAGGATGTAGAATGATGAAAAATTTCCTGTCGCAGCTCGATACGTCCTAGCTCGATATGACGCCATAACTATACATATACATGTCGAGATATATATTCATTCGTGAGAATCGATCAAGTTCGTATAAAGCTCGGGTTCGTTAATAATTTCTGCGCAAGAGTGGCAGTAAAGCAGCCGGCAGCAAAACGGGATGCACCTCGAATCGGATACACGCGCTTTCGAATATATCTGTTCCCAGTTCGTAAATGATGCACGCGTGGCCCACGTAAAGTAAGGCGCGTGTATCGTTTATATGGCGCACCTGGCAGCGAACGTGTCGTAATGATGGCCCGATAATTTTACCTCACGTTCGCCGAACGCAACACCGTTTCAATCACAACGTGCCTCGGTAACAACCGCACGATCGCACGCTGAAAAGGTCCGCGCGTTCATCTCGCAACGCGACACTTCAGTACATCTTCTCGTCACATAAAATAATGTTTCTTTCCGCAATAACATTTAATTAATGTATTTAAACGATTAATGTATTTTTATGTAATAATACATGTCTTTCCGCATGATAGCAACGCTAAAAATTACTTACTAATCAAATTTCGGAGAAATGTCAGAAATTGTTTCTTACATAATAAATGAGAATGTCCATCTCTCTGCTTGCATCGCGATATGAAACGACAATTAATTTTTTCGCATCGTATTTTTACGTATATCTACTCAGTGTTTTCTATCTTCTATTTACGGCTTCCTCGAAATCGTCGGGATTATTATGTTTCCTGATACTTGGGACGACTGTGTTGAAAGATGGGCGAGACAGATTGCGCTAGCGAACGTCGTGCAATTCGATAATCCGTGCCTTCTGGCCTACTTTAATATTTCGGGTAGCATCGTCCCTTTCGCGTGTGTAGCAAACAGAAACAGCATGTTGGAGATTGTCCAGGATTCAGCTTGGCTCGCTTCAGACTTGACTATTCGGTCGCGATGCGCGATTTCAATGAGCTATAATTTCCAACGATCAATACCGGTTGGAGGCGACCTCCAACGAAATCTCGGCCTAAAAATAGCGTGTGTCTTCGTGGATCAAGGAACCGAGGTACCAGGCATCGACACGAACACGTTTATTAACGGATAGCGACGGCTCCGAATTGAAAAAAGCTTCTCGACCTTAAATCGAATCGAAAGTTATCTACCTCCTCCTTTATTTGTTCAATGAAATATGGACTTAGGTCGCTTCGAAATTCTGGCAAGGATACAGGGAATGAATTCTTCTTTATAGAATGTCATCTAAATTTCCTGCATTTCTCTTTTCACAACTACAACCGGAAACGCAGAAACGTTCGCTCCAACAATAATCCGATCTATAATACGTAACAACAACTCATTCCACACAATCTGTTGATGATATCTTAGATATGTCCGTATATGATTAGATCCGCCATTAAATTTTCCGGCTTAAAATAAAACAGGAAGAGTCCAGTTAAAAGAAAGCAGAAAAGAATTATCTGGAATACCCCGTACATCCTGCTTTCGTGATTATTACGCAAAATGATGAGTATGAAAAAATAATCCACAGACCACAATTAATCAAGACTCATAATCATGAAAGCGTAATTCGGTATATTTTCTGTATCGATAGAAAGTCGCTTTCCAACGCGCTTCGGAGTTACATTCCGTTACAGTTGATATCCGTTACATTCGACTGCGCTGTGTTTACAGAAAGAGATATCGTAAGAATGTATCCCTTCTCAGGAGAATTAATCACCATGATTCAGATAAATTCTTGAAAATAAACTTGTAGCAAGAAACATGTTGGATCAAGTTTCAATTATATCTCTGAATGAGTCAGTATTTGGCAAAAGTTCTCGAGCAGTATATAGGTTCGGTGAAAAATATGGCTCTGCTTATCCCCGCAACCCCGAACTTCCACGTTTCACTTGACCCCGTGTCAGACACGTAAGCAGTTTCCACGTGCGTCATCGTGACAAAACATTCAGGTTGATCGATTTCAAGGGGACGACCGACCGGCTGGCCGGAAGTTTTCGTAGGGTGCACTTTTGGCGGAAGTCATGCAGATACCCCAAATCAATTTTTCTCTATGACGCTAACAGCCCATTTTTAGAATTTCGATATAATGAAGGCTTTATCGCAAAGAGCTCTGAAGTTCAAGCGATTCAACGTAAAAAAAAAAAACAAGAGTCGGAAAACCGACCTCGCATTTTTTTTTTCTATTATACGAATCTTTTTAATACTTGACACGCGCGAAATATTCCAACGAGAGACAGAATTGGCAGAAATCTAATTTGCAAATTCTCTGTTATTGCTTTTTTAATAACCTCGCAATTTAATGACGTTCCCAAAAATATCTTCCGTTGAAAATTTTTTTGTCTCGCTGCATGTTTATCATGCATGCCATTACGCGAAATAATATATTCACCCCTGCATACATGCAGCTGCAGCGCAATGCAAGACTTTCGTGGGCAACGCGACCTCACTCTGAATTTGCAAAATAGTCACGAATATTTATTGAGAATTATAATTCTACAAAGGGAACAATTTTTGGAATATTAATTTAACCGATGGAATTTTGATTCTCTTCCTCAAGCAGTTTTAAACAATCGTTTAACATATATAAAACTACAAAAATTTTGCATATAATTATTATATTTTATGTAAATTATTGCCGAGCGTCATTTTCGTTTAAATAATTTCTGAATATACGTTGATGGTCCCAATCTTATTCCCCGTTTCCTTCGCGTCTCAGTAATCCTCAACGAAATTGCATTAGGGATCGATCGATCCGCATTTTATTTGCGAACTTCGTCGAGAAAAAGTCAGCTTTTTCAATAATTTTCCCTTTGAGGCAAATAGGTCGGGATCAATAGGCACCACTACAGAGGCAGGAAATGAAAAGGGCAACTGTACAAGCACCTCCAGCGTTTTAATTTACGATCTCCGTGGTTGCGCGGTGAATTCTTTTTCTTCTCCAGGTAACCACAGAAGAGGAAGTGCTCGCCTTTGCGAAAGGGGCGCGCTCGCAGGGGCCATCCGGCCGTCGAGGCCGCTTTATCGTGCCCCCGTGAAATGAGATATGAGGGAAAGAATGTTTATTCGCGGTTTTTCCCCCTCGTTCCGCGTCGCGCGCGAGAACGGCGATAAAAGGAGAAGGCTCAGTCCCCTAATTGGAACGCGCGCCAGTTTCGCCTACCGAGGTAACAGGTGGTGCCTATACGTGCTACTTATTCGCGCAATGTTCTATAATGCAAGCGCGGAGAAAATCTTCTGCGGCGTCAATTTTCCTGAAATAATACCCACGTCCTCTCGGTCACGCGAATCTTCCGTTTCGTAAGAAAAGAAGACCGCTGTCGCAGGTATCTTAATATATAAAATTTGCCGCGTTTCGTCGTTATCGAGTAGGCGACAAACTACTTTCTTCGGATTGCAAACAATACGTGACCGAGTGATATTTGTATACGACGAACAATAGAGCGTGATACCACGCAGTTAAATAACGAACGGCTCAGCGTTGATATATATCATCTCGTCCAGATTATCTAATAATCATTTCAGGAAATATAGCGCGTGAGAATAATCTAGTTAAATTCTATATGTTGCGCGCGCGATGTGTATTATACAATTTTCTACCTCGTAGAGAGAGAGAGAGAGAGAGAGAGAGAGAGGAAGAAATAGAGAGAGATATTCTTTCATTACCGGCGATCATCGAGGCGTAACAATTAATACGGCAAATGGGAGAAAAGCTGAGTAAATTGTAAAATCCGGTGCAGGAAATTAATTATCGCTTCTCGCTGCTGCGGTTGCTGCATCGCAGCAAGAAAAAAAACCGCGTATGTATTTATTATGCGAGAAATCCCCCGATATTTCTGCAAAACCTCCGCTATCGTCCGGCAAGAGGCGATGCATAATTTTGCTTCATTTTTTCTTCGCGTCTCTCTCGCCGGGTTTAGGGTTAAAAACTCGACCGTTACCGCGAACTTACTTTCCTTACGAGAAAAAAAAATCGCCATCGGATCGATCGATCAAAGAGCCGGCCACGAGGTTTAACGGTGCGGTTGAGGTGGTCACGGAAAACGGCGAAAAAATGCTGCATACACGGAGGCATATATATGCATGTGCGAATGCGCGCGCGTGATAGGTCCCGTACAAAGCCTTCAATCAAAGCACGTTGCGCCTTTGACATATCCGTAATCACCGGCGTCGTGCCACGCTGCCATGAGCACCGTTGTTCACGCGTCGATTTGTTTTATCGATTGTGTCAGACGCCGTCGGCGTCTACCCCCGCGGCCTTTGTCAAAATCTCCTCTCCTTCACGTCTCGAGTAACACGTACGCGCGAATCGCCAATTCGCATCCTTATTACACTCGCCACCCCGGCACTCGTCGTGCGTCGCGGCAGGGATTCGCTAATTGGGATATATGGCGTTCGCGGTACCGCTATAGCGCTTTTGACTCCTAATTAATGTGAGTAACAGAAGTGTGGCGTGAGGTGGATTCGCGTGCCTCCGCGAGGCGTTGTATTCAACGGGTTACTTTTGCGGAATGCGCCTCTGGCCACTAGTGCTGGGAATTCTTTGAAAGTTTGGCCGGATACTGTTCGATTATCCGTACGACAAAACGGACAGAAGTTATTCAAGACGCAAACTGTATTGTAAGGTCATCGGGCACCCCGCATATCAGTCGGAAGTTA